CAGGAGCACAGACAGGAGCAGTTCTGCCCAGGTCTGTGCTCCTGCACTCTGAAGATGCCAGTCACAGGTGCTGGCGAAACGTTAGGAAAAAAAACTTCAAGAACACGGCCACACAGCCCGGAAGACCCACACCAGCCATCGTATGCCGGCCGTGAAAGCCTTTGACAACACAGAGCTACAACAAGCTTATCTAAATGTCTGCCTTTCCAGTTATATGGTTTATGTACTTCTATTTACTTTCTCCTGGTTTTCAGATGTTAAATCTGTTGTTATTCAACTTCTTAAATACAGCATAAATGTATTATGGAGTCCTTGGACTCCACAGTTCGACCCTGAGCTACATATATTCTCTTCTATTGGTAAATGTATTATGCATAAGAAACTTTATTATTTAATATGAAAGACTCAGTTGTAAATGTGGGGATTTTGACTTAATTCTCTTTTTTCTTTCAATCCATTCTGGTCACACAATTGCAGGAATATATCATACTTGCATTAATTGTATTGGTTAGCTCATTCCCTATCGTTATCCATAAAATTATGCTCTATAAAATCATGCATTATGCTGCATAGCTAGGAAATACCATATTGTTGAAATCTATCATTTTTAAGTCACATAAATTTAAAGTTGCAGTAGCAGAACACTATATGCATTGTGTTGAAAACAGTTTTGCACTGAAATAGATGATTCTGACAGGCATATTTAAATGCACTCAGAGAATGTTGATGCTGCCCACAGCATGGGGACTAGCTCTGGTCCTAAGAAAATGTCTAAAATTAACTTTCTCATAAATTGTAAGCAAAATATTCAATATTTTGTCAAGTTTGACCAAGTAGGGTCCAAACTATAAAAGCTTATCCTGCAAAAAAAAAAAAAAAGTTCAAGGTTCAAAATAACCTAGTTTTTGCTATCATAATCAAAGGCAGTTTCCAGATCTTTTGGTTTACATTTCCACATCTTCATAGGAATGAAAAAAGTGTGATATAGGAAACACTAGAAAGTAATGATTTCTCAATGATACTTTTTCTCCATGAAAATAAAAGAAAAGGTGTGTGACTAGGATGATAATTTCAGGATACAGGATACAATACAGGAACAATCTATGATGCAGCTTTGTTAGCTTTGGAGGGTACAGATGTGTGAGTGTGCATATGAGGAGCCTACCAAGGTGGTTCTGTAGAAAGTCATGTTGATACAGAATTTACACTCTGCCTAAATTTGGATATTATCTATATTAGGTAACAGCCACTTCCAACAATATTTCATCACCTTACCCCTTTACAATTAGAAATGTAAAATACTTAATAATCTGTTTCTGTTCATACTCTTCTCCCATCCCAAAGAACAGAAGACTGGCTATAGTGCTTACTTCCTCTCCCCCCAACCCTGCCCCACATTCCACACTTAACTATATGCTGACTGGATGTTTTTTTCAACCTAATACAAGCCAAACTGCACAGTACTCTCACCATAAAATGTCTTCCTACAAAAAGTATGTAGAAGAGGTATGGAAAGCACAACTCTGGACTGCTTGGAGCAGGCATACAGGTCAGTGCCAGGGCACAGCAGGATGACTCTCAAGAAGTGCCAAAATATTTAACAAACAGTTTGCACAAACCAGAGCAAAACAAACACCTCTGGGCACAGCAGTGCTCCCAATAGTTTTTTCTGTGTTGAGTATATTATTTGTACTTGGTCCTGTCCTGAAGTGTCCAAATGCAAAAAAAAAAAAAAAAAAGTCTTGTTTGAGGAAAAAAAATATCTTGGCAGAAGAGAGAGAAAATGGGGAAACTGAATTTGGCAATCAACAAATTTATCCTCTAATTAATCTACAATCTATCATCCCAATCTCAGCCTTTGGGATATTCATTGCTTGTACACAACCAAACACATATTATCTTTCTGTATGTTTCCA